TGAGGGCAACAAATGTATAGATGTGCTTTACACAATTGATCTATGTATTGTGATGAATTGTATGAGCCCCAATAAATTGATTTAAAAAAATAACAAAAAGAGTATTGAATGCTCTTACCTGTTGGAATTTGAATATCTATATTAGATAATGTAGCTAAACCACTGCCCCATGAAAAATATCCATTTGTGACCTACAGAATAAGAATAAAGACATAAAATTATAAAATTAAGTATTAAAAAAAAGAAAGGTGATGTAATCATGGGTGCTCTAATATCGATGTCCTCATGATCATACTATTCTCCTTGATATGATTGGATGGTTTAACTATTGAATTGTATTATATTTAAAATATGTGCCAATAAAATGGTTGGTGGGGGGGAAGAAACTGTGGTACATACATACAATGGAATACTACACATCGTTAAAAAGCAGTGATGAACATATGAAGCACATCGCCGCATTGGAAGAGCTGGAGAAATCATGCTAAGTTAAACAATCCAAGCACAAAAGGTCAAGTACAACATGAATCGCTGAGTAAGCTTAAAAATGCTAAAGGGGCATAAGGAAAAAGCTACAGTATACAAACATTCCTGGGGCCAGGACCAGGTAGTATGGTAGGAGCAGACCAAATCCTGGGATACATATGGTAGCCAACTGAAAAGGAGGGGGGGGAAGGAAAAAAAGGAAATCAGTAAATAGGGGAACAGGGCACTAACTCACCCAAGGGGAGGGTATTGTTTATATCTCCATAAGGAAAGAGGGACCAGACTTCAACCCAATGCTCAAAGATGTGAATGCAACATGCTGGCACGGAGTAGGGAACCAGTGAAGAGGTCTGAGAGGCCAGCCCCAATACCAACAAAGTGGACACCTCCCCTACACCCCCGAAGAATTTATTTCAGAGTACAGCATTGAAGCTGCAGCTCAGGGAGAGAGACATGTCTTTTTTGTTGTTGTTGTTTTGTTTTCTTTTGTTGCTTGGTTTTGCTCTGTCTTGTTTTTGTGCATGTTATTATCTCCGCAGGTCTGTCTAAATAAGATAGGCTGGATGAACAATCTGGAGGAGAAAACAATGGGACCAACAGTTTCGGAGGTACATGGGAGAGGGGGAGGTAGGGGGAAAGGAAGTGGTGCTAACAAATCCAGGGACAAGGGAACAATAAGTGATCCAAATCGGTGGCGAGGAGGGTGTAGGAGGCCTGGTAAGGCGTGATCAATGGTAATGTAACTGAGAGGAATTACTGAAACCCAAATGAAGGTTAAGCATGATAGTGGGACAAGAGGAAAGTAAAAAGAAATAGAGGAAAGAGCAAAGAGCAAAGAGGCAAAGGGCATTCAGAGAGGTCTAAAAACAGGCATGTACATATGTAAATATATTTATATATAATGATGGGGAAATAGATCTATGTGCATATATTTATAGGTTTAGTATTAAGGGAGCAGATTGACATTGGGCCTCCACTGAAGTACTCCCTCAATGCAAGAATACTTTGTTCTATTAAAACTGAAATTCCATGAGGCTCACATTCTCAACACATTCCCTGAAGACAAAGTGGATGCATAAGCAAATGTGGGGAGGAAAGCTGATGAAGCCGGCTATCAAAAGATATAGATTCCAGGGTATTAAATACTTGAAGGTAAACAAGTGGCCATCTAGCTCAGAAGCAAAAGCCCACATGAAAGAAGCACACCAGCCTGTGTGATCACGAGGTGTCAAAGGCATCAGGTATCAGGCATCAAAGAACAAAAATCATCATTGCGTGCTCACCTCCCTGATAAGTTCGCTGAAAACAAATGGGTGCATAAGCGAATGTGGTGAAGAAAGCCAATGGTAGCCGGCTATCAAAATATATAGTGTCTGGGGTCTTAAAGCTTGAATGTAAACAAGCAGCCATCTAGCTCAGAAGCAATAAAGCCCACATGGAAGAAGCACACCAGCCGGTGTGATCACGAGGTGTCAAAAGGATCAGGTATCAGGCATCAAAGAACCAAAAAAACATATCATTGTGAATGAGGGCAAGTGCTGAGTGGGACCTAAAAGCACCTATGTAGGCAACTGGACATCGCCTTATGGAAGGGTCGCAGGGAGGAGACGAGCCAGTTAGGATGCAGTCTAGGAAGGATGAAACATACAATTTTCCTCTACTTCCTAAATGATTCCTCCCCACCCCCCACTATCATGATCCCAATTCTACCTTATAAATCTGGCTAGACCAGAGGATATACACTGGTACAGATAGGAACTGGAAACACAGGGAATTCAAGACGGATGATCCCTTCAGGAACAGGGGTGAGAGTGGACATACCTGGAGAGTGGAGGGAGGGTGGGGTCGAAAGGGGGAACAGATTACAGGGATCTACATATAACCTCCTCCCTGGGGGGTGGACAACAGAAAAGTGGGCAAAGGGAGATGTCAGACAGTGTAAGATATGACAAAGTAATAATTTATAAATTATCAAGGGTTCATGAGGCAGGGGGGAGCTGGGAGGGAGGGGGAAAATGAGGAGCTGATGCCATGGGCTTAAGTGGAGAGCAAATGTGTTGAGAATGATGAGGGTAAAGAATATACAAATGTGCTTTAAACAATTGATGTATGTATCGATTTTGATAAGAGTTGCATAAGCCCTCAATAAAGTGACTAACTATATATATATGTATATAACTAAGTGACATCAACAAAATCTCATTTATATCAATAACAACATTGCATGTAATCGGTGAATTCACTGATAAAAAGAGAAAAGTAGTAGAATGGATTTTAAAAATGAACCTTTAGTAGGCTGCTTACTAGAAATGTACCTTATATATAAAGATACATGTAGACTAAAAATCAAAGGATGGAAAAAGATATCACTAAAACAGCAGTGAAAGAAAAGGTGGAATAGCCATATTAATCTCAGACAAAGTAGACCTCAAAGTTAATGATGTAATGAGAAACAACGAAGGTCACCAGATAATTATGAAAGCTTTAATTGAACAAGAAACCATAACTATAATATATGCACCAAATGCGAGACATTAATAAATTATAGAAATGATGACACAAATAAATCATAATATTATATTAGGAAACTTCAATACATCATTTTCAACTCAATATCGATCAACTAGAAAGAAAATCAACAGATAGAAAAAAATAACAATAAATCAACTTGATTTCATAGGTATATATAGTACGCTTCACCTGACAAACTTTCATTTCACTGTCTTCTCTAGCGCCCCTGGAAGCTAGTCTAGAATAGATTGTATCGTAAGCCGTAAAGCAAGCATCAGAAAATTCAAAAGTATTGTTATCCAAAAAAATCTTTTCAGATCATAATGCTGTAAAATTAGAAATTAAGCATAAAATGACCCACTCCTCCCCAAATGAAAATGAAAATCCCTAAAATATATGGCAATTGAGAAACACATTACTAAAGAATCAGTGTGTATCTGAAGAAATAAAGAGCACAATCAAAAGATCCTTTAAACAAATGAGAATGAAAACGCAATGTATCCAACTTGTTGGGACACAGCAAAAACAGTACTCAGAGGACCGTCTATAACCATATCTGCACACAGCAATAAGGCAGAGAGAATTAAAACAAACACCTTAAAACATCAACTACGATTGGAAAAATGGAGCAAAAGAAATCATTAGATACTAAAAGAAAAATTAGGGCAGAAACAAATGAAACATAAACAACTTTTTAAAAACTAGAGAAAAATCAATATGATAAGAAATCGGTGTTTTGAAAAGATTAACAAAATTTCAGGATGGCTTAATATTAGAAAACAACAAATGTAATTCATCCCTTAAAGGAGAACCATATGATTATATGGATGCATATATTGATGCATAAAAGGCATTTGATAAAATTTGACATCCATTCCTGATAAAACACTCCATAAAGAAGGTAAATTTCTCAACAAAATAAAAACCATATATGCAAAACCAATAGCCCGCTTCTCACTGAATGGCGAACAATTGAAATCATTTCCTCTTTGAACAGAAACTAGGCACGGTTGCACTCGATCACCACTTTGATGTAATATCTTTCTGGAGGTTTTAGCTAGAGTCATAAGACATCAAAAAGAAATTAAAGGTGTCCACATAGGCACACAATAAGTAAAAATATCTTTATTTGCAGACGACAAAATCGCATACGTAGAAAACCTAAAAGATTCCATTAAACAATTGCACTAATTTAAAATTGTGGATTGTTGCATATTAAGGACGATAATATAAAAAAAGATACCAAAAGGACAATACCATTTACAATAACTACACAAAAAGAGAAAATAAATAGGAATAAATATGACCAGAGAATCAAAAGACGTAGACAAAACAAAACAAAAAACAACAAAAAACTACAACAAACGTCTTCAATAAACTGAAAGGGACTTACCTAAATGGTACAAGTTCCCATGTCTCTAGATAGGCAGACTGAATATTGTGAACATGTGAATATTACCAAAATTACTTTACAAAATCTGGGAGCCCAGTCGGCAAGACGGCGCTGCTCGTGTTCCCGTGCTCCTTCTTCCGGCTTCTGACGCCAGCTGGGCTCTTGCGCGGGCTTTTCCCGAGGTCAAAGTTTTCCATTCATGCGCCTTTCAATAGCAAACCTGATTGGCTGAAAGTTGGGCTGACCTCAGCCCCCACAGACTTCCTATGGGGATATCTCAAGCAACATAATGAAGATGTTTTAGAGTGTAAAAGAAGAAATGATGATATAAAAAAAATCAGAAGAAGAAGAAATGGTTTGAAATACTGATACCACAGTCTGCTCCACTTAGTGATTGCATGGATTCTTCTGGATTCACCAATCTTTTGAATGTAAATGAGAAATAAAAGTTATTTGTGAATGTGTATCTCCACATTTGTGTGTTACTTCATTATGTGAAACAAATTAAAATACTTCCTTATTCTTAAAAAAAAAATCAATGCAATTCTGATCCAAATCCCACCGTGATTCTTCAAAGAAATGAAAAAAACTAATTATCAACTTTATATGGAAAGGAAAGAAACCGAGGATAACTAAAACACCTTTAAAACACAAAGACAAAGCAGGAGGCCTTTGACTCCCAGACATTGAAATCTACTAAATAGCCACAGTAACCCAAAGAGCCTGCTATGGGTGCAATGATATGAAGACTAATAAATCAGAATGGAAAACCAAGAAATACAACCAAGAACCTATAGACACCAAATTTGTAATAAGGACCGAAGACACATTAAATGGGCAAGAAATAGCCTTTTCAACGAGTAGTGCTGGAAAAACACTGGATCTTAATTGGCCAACAAATGAAACAAGACCCATCACACACCATGCAAAAAAAAAACACAAAAAAAGCCAAACTCAAAATAGATCAAAGAGCCAAATATAAGTCGCACAATAATTAGATCATGAATGAAAAATAGGGACAAACTTAAGGGACCCTTACACAAAGCATAAACACACTGTTGAACATAATGAAAAAGTATCCACAAAACAAAATAAAGAACATACTGTAAATATGACATTTGTGCACATCAAAGGACTTCATCAAAAGACTTAAAAGAGAACCCACAGATTAGGAAAATATTCAGTAATAGTACATCAGCTAATGGTCTAATCTCCAAAACCCATAGAAAGCTACAATATCTTAACAATAAAAATACAAATAATCCAATAAAAAAGTGTAAAAGACTTCATATAGACCATTTACCAAAAACAACATCCAGGTGGCCAACAGCCATCTGAAGAAATGCTCTGATTCATTAGCAATAAGGGAAATGCAAATTAAAACAATAATGAGATGTCACCTTACACTGAAACATTTAGCAAAATTCAATAAAACAGAAAATAACAAACATTGGAGAGTATGTGGAGAGACACGAATGCTTTTACATTGCTGGTGGGACTGTAGCATCGTACACCCACTATGGAAATTGGTATGGCACTTCCCTAAACAAGTGCAAATACAAGTACCTTACGATCCAGCACACTCTCTACTGATTATATGCCCTATAGAAATCAAGAATACAACACAAATGGACACACGCAGACATGTTTATTGCAGCAATTTCCACAATAGCAAAGAAGCAACACCAATCCCCAATTATAGAGGACTGGATAAATAAGGTCTGGTACATTCATAGCATGGAATTTTATGTAGCAATAAAAATTGATAACTGTTGAAGACTGTAAGACAGGGATCAAACTAGAGAACATCATGCTAAGCAAACTCAGCCGATCTGAAAAAGATAGATATTTAACATCACCATGGTTATAAGAGAAAATAGAAAAGAAGACACGTGGTGTATATACCAGTCGACAAGACTTTGATCACTACCAGGATGCCAGAGACAGGACCAGGAGCAGTGAGAGAGGAAGGGTGGCATGGGGAGGGGAATGGAGGGGTTAACGGCAGGGGGGAGGGGGACATGAACTAAAAATTGTTCCCCCCCCAAAAAAAAAGAAAAGAGACCCTCTAGATTCCTTACCCCTCAGATCTAAACATTGGTCTGAGTGATTAGAAAGGAGGAAAAAGTAAAACGGAAGTGGACTTGGAATCTTTAATGACTTACAAGTGCATTTCAAACAGATGGGGAAAAAAGGCTGCCGGGTCCTGAGCCAGCCTCACAATTCTCATTATATTGGAGCCCATTCTGGCCGCCAATGTGTACAGTGTTTGACGGCTAGTCATAAAGTTTTCAGTGGCTACTCTCTCAGAAGTTAATAGCATATACATTCTTGATAGTCTTCTCTTAGTCTGGAAGTTCTACTGAAACCTATACACGGTGGGTGACCATGGGGTTGTTATTGCCAATTCATGTAACCCTTCTAGCCATGGTTCCTTATATGTTATGCTCTGAGCTTTATATGCCTGTAGCTATGGTGGAGAGTGTGGGCCAAGACATATCCCTTGTTTCCTTGAGGTCATCTTTTTTTTTTTTTAGATCATTTTATTGGGGGGTTCTTACAACTCTTGTTACAATCCATACATCAATTGTATGCAACAATTAATACATATATTCCATCATTCTTTCCTAGACATTTGCTTTGTATTGAGCCCTTGGGATCAACTCCTCTTTTTTTTCCCTCCGCCCCCTCTTGTGGCCCCTTGATATATTATAGATTGTCAATTATTTTCAAATCTCACACCAACTGCTGTCTCCCCTCTCCTCTGGTTTCTGTTGCTCTTCCCACTGGATGGGGGTGTAGGGGGAAGGCGGCGGGGGGAAGGTGAGGAGGGAGTGGGGTACCGATTGCAATGAATGGCACATAACCACACACCCCTTGAGGCCATCTTTAACACCTCACTTTGATACTTCATGTGAGAAAGACTAGGCATTCTACTTCCGTAAATATTTACAGCCTCGGAAACCCACAGGGAAATTCTACTTTCTCCTATAAGGTCACTCTGAGTCAGCATGGTTTAGTAACCTGTGTGAAACCAACAACACCCTTTGTTTTCCTCAGATATACAAAGGTGCCACCAGGCGGTTCACATCGGCTTGTCTGGAAAGCCAGACCTCGATTTTCCTGACCCTGTTGAGTAGAAGCCGGAAGACTTGATGTGGCTGCTGGACACTTTGGGCTTCTGGTGGTAGAGCTTGCATTGGCCCCATCTCTGTCTCATCCTTGGATTCGGGACTGAACAGTACCCAACACCATGTGAGACCTTTCCTCAAAGTTTTCTGAGTTCCTGTGGGAGGTGGCAATGAATCACAGATCCCAGGGATGCGAGGTTATATACTAAAGGGAGGAATGGGGAGAGGTGGGGTAATGGATCAAAGTACCATCTTGGAAGAGTTGGACATTTGGGACATCTTCGATCTCCATCCCCTTACAGTTAGTCTTGTATTAATGCTTACAAAAGAAGTTGTAATACCACACTGTGTGTGAAATACCATTGGCATGGCTTCCAGCATCACAGCAACATTCAAGCCACCACTGTACAACAGACAGACAAGTGGTGGTGGATAAGTGTACATATACTTCTATACACCTCCATCAGAAGGACAATACCTGGAGGATAGAGGGTGGGGACAGATTAATTTAGTGTGTGTGGGGGGGTGCACTTGTCATGATTATTGTTTGCCTGTGAGCATTTTTTTGTGTGTTGTCAATAAGCTGTATCAGTTGACTTTAGGTTACCAATGATAGGACCAGATTCGAGGGGGACACCTTTGGCTTGGCCAAGTTTTCATTGCTCTGCAATTGGGCCTTGTGTGGGAAATAGAACATTCTGCAATCTGGCTTCTGAAGAGCCAACTGCTCAGAGAGGCCAGCATATGAGCACCTACATACCAAGCACGTACACATAAGCACTCAGAAAGAGAACGTAAAAGATGAAACAAAAGAAGAGACGTCACTGGCATCAAGTCAATGCTCACAGTCAGCATATAGGACAGGGTAAACCTGCCCCTGTGAGTTTCAGAGACTGGAACTCTTTGCCAGAGCACAAAACCCCATCTTTCTCCCACAATGCAGATGGTGATTTCCAACTCCAACCTTGAGGCTCTCAGTCCAATAGATAACCACTACCCCACCAGGACTCCTAGAAAGAGAACATTATCTTATAGAAAAGCTGAAGCCACCCCCACAGGGGTTCTACAGTTTTACCAGTGGACTAGGGACACGGAATTGAAGTCTTTGGAGCTAGATTAGGAAGGCAGTTTCAATGTATTGTTTGCCTGGCAATGTTGTAAGCTGCATTGTTTAGAGTGTTCAAAATTTATAAACATTTCTTTTCTTCCTGTCTTCTTTTGAGTTTTCAGTGTATGCTTAGAATGTTTTGATGCTAAAGTTTGTTTTAATGTATGCTTGAAAGATTTTCATCCATAAACAGAAAATCGGACCTTTGGCTATCTCAAACTTCTTTAAAATTTATTTCTAGGACAACGATAGAAAATGAGAGAAGGAAGGAAAAGGCGTTTGCAACTTAATAGAATTATTAGGAAATGTAGCAAAAGATAGAAAAGGGGAGTTCAGGAAAGGCAATTATCTTGGACTAACCCAATAAGGTCATTTTAATTTCTGGCAACGCTGTATTAGAGCAGCCAAGTCTCCCTTTTCTTCTTGGTTTGAGCTGCTGACCTTGAAGATGGTGAATTGTTGGCCTAGTGCAGTCCACTACTCCTGAGGCCCCAGTAAATGAGAGGCAAGAACTGAGAAGTAGTGTGTTGGCAGTGAAGGGAAACCAAGCTGGAATACCCGAGAACCCAAGATACATTCTTAAGTACTAGAAAGCTTTTCGATATCAGCTCAAAACAAAGAGAACCAATTTTTATCAGAAAGGCTCATCCCAGTCGATTTGGAGATATGAGATATATGACCTGTCAATAGATCTTTGAATTATACCACCATTTCACTTGTTCGGTATTTGAAAAGTGGGATACAATTCTTTTTGTTCAAGCTTTCAGGTCACTATATCAGAAAAAGGTACTTTAACAAAATGTAACTATGTTGCCGAGAACAAAACTGAACAACAATAAAAAGCCAGTTTTACCTGATTTCTCTGAGGACAAATACCCCCATTTTCCTTAGACAGTAGCAGCCACAGCCCCAGTGATCCCACTTTACTTGGGGCTCTGGCTGCTGCACCTTCTCCAGA